CCCTCCACCGCCTCTCCGGCGCCGCCCACTGCTCCACCCACCCGTAGTGATTCCCGTGTAGTGGTTGTTTCTATTGGCGCTCCACTTCACGTTCACGGGGGACAGGACTTCATCACCCGGTCGAACTCCTCGAACGCCTTCGCGTCCAGTCCCAGTCCCTTGGCCAGCAGGCTGCTCAGCTGGTCGGATGTTTGGCTTTCCTGCGCCTGGAGCTCGGTCTTGAGCTTCCCTTCTGGAAGGGAGTCGATGACGCTCTTCCGCGCATCGTCGTCGAAGCCGAGGTGCACGTCGAGGAGATCGTGCCGCCAGTCGTCATCATCGTCGTCTTCGAGCGAGTCGAGAGACAGGCCGAAGAGGGCGTACTCGACCAGCACGCCGAGCGTGGGTCCCACGAAGGCGTACGAGTAGGCCCGAAGCGCAGGCATGCCCGCCAGAGCGCCACGAGGTGCTGGCCCGTCCAAGGCGGCACGGCGGGGCCTTTATCGCCCTTGCGGAAGCTGGCAATGACGGCGCGTGCTTGCTTCAGGTGGTCGAGGGTCTGGGGTGCAATCCCAATTACTTCAAGGAAGTGAGGGACACCCTGTGTTGTTTACTATTTAATTTTGTTCTTCATTTCGGGCAACAGATGACAGGAATCTCTTCAGCAGGCATGCCTGAGCCCTCCCTCAGCTCCTGTTGCCTGACCCAGGACAACAAGGACGAGGAGGACAAGCCACCCAACAACACTTCTTTGCCTGGGCTCTGTGTGACTCCTGGGTGTGAACAGGGCCACTGTCCCCAAGAAGAACAACAAGAACAGAGTCATCAACATGTGTGATGAACACTGCCATTGCCTTGCCAGTGGTGGTGGTCAGAGAGTAGGTGTTCAGTGAGCACATTATTGACTTGCTCCATATCTGGGAGGAAGGGTGGAGGGCAAAGGCTGGGAGTCAGGCTAGTGTCCAACTGCACTTCAGCAGCAGTTTTGAGCTCATCCTTGCTCTTATTGTGCAAGGATTACATCAGTTTCATCCCCCGCCCCAACCTCCAAGCAGTTTTACAACAATCTGGGTTTTATCCCACTTTAACAGAAGTGGATTGGGCAAATACGCAGAAAACTAAGTGTAACATAAAAAAAAAAATACTCACAATACAGCTTTTCTTTGCTCCACAGCCTAAATCAAGTATATAGTTAGAAATAGTAAACAGAAGTGTTGGCCTTTTGCCCAGTTCCACCTGTACCAGGTGGCTGCTGATGTTGGCATCTGTGAAGTTGCAACCCATGTCCTCTGTTTGATACTCCAGGCTGCCCTTGTCTGCCCTTGTCTGCCCTTGTTGTGTGGGTGGTGCTTACTGGGCTGAGTGAGCCTGTCTGGTTCTGACAGGATTGACTGCCTGGCAGTCAGTGAACAAGGGTCTGGTGTATGGTTTGTGGTTGAGTATGTGAAGAAACTTGTGCACATTCCAACCAATACTTGGGTTAGCTTGTTGGAGAGGAAAAGAGCTCAAAAGCACAAGTATTTAGCTCCCCACAAAATTTTTCCACCTGCACCTCAACGGTGAGATCATTGCGGTGTTGGGTGAGGCAACGGCCCGTGGCCCACTCTGCACCGTGGTACGGAGTGAAAACACCACATTTACGGACCTAAAAAGTCGGAGTTTGCACACTTTTTCTCCGCAACACGCTTGCGTGCTCCAGCCCCGCAAGCATAACCACTCTACGCCTCGACTACAACAGCAAGACATGATGAAGGAAAAGGGTACGGTGCCTCGCCTATGTGAGTAGGCCCCTGGTCGCATGTGTTGATCACCTGCCTCACACGCACTGTCCGTTGTGTGGAAGCACAGAAGCCAAGCCTGAGCGTTTTAAGCAGAGACTTCAAGAAAACGGAGGAGAATGCAGCGAGGTATATGATCATGCACCACAGGCGGCGCCCAAGGAAAGAAGCTTTACAACTGACACGCACGCCTCGGCAATAGGCGCAGGGCGGCGATGTGTGGAATCTCTCCCAGCTGTCGTCTCACCAACGAGCGCAAGTGGCTTCGGTGTTGGCCGAGTGGCCACCCATCAAGGGCGCGACTGCTCTCACGTACACCACCACCAGCCACTGCTTGAGATGAGCCACAATGCTGTAAGCACACTACTAACAACAACATGGCGGGCTGCTGAGCAGGTATGACAATACGAGAGCTTTGGCGGAGCTCGAGCGCAACAGCAAGTTCAAGAGGCTGGCCTTCAAGCAAGGCATGATTCGGCCCTTTCTGCTCCTGGCCTCCATGCACCCCGAGACCCGCGCCACCTGGGTACGCCCACAACAAGGATTGTTGACATTTTCCACATGATTGTTTTCTTTTGTCCCGATTGGTTGATGCTGACCAGCCCGGGCAATGGCAACAAACCACCAGGCCAAGACCCTCGAGCTCGACCTGCTGGCCCAGCCCTTCTTCGGTGACGCCCACGCTGAGGCCTGGTACGGCTCCACAATCAATCCTGTTCAGCGGTTTGCCGAGCGCCTAACACTCGTGCCGCACACAGGTTCATGATTGACAAGAACCGCCAGGGCATACAGGCGCGGGCCAACCTGGCGTTCAAGGAGAGCCTCAACCCGTTTGCCAACAACTGCAACTGGTACGAGATCGTGGAGCGTGTCACCCGCAAGGCCTTTGCCAAGGACAAGCGCCACCTGGACGCCGACCTGCGCCGCGAGATCAAGGCCGCGCCGCGCAAGTTCGGGCAGACCATCGGGCCATGCCGCGACCCGCACGACCCCACTGCGCAGCACATGGAAGAGCTCATGTTGCGGGCCTTCTTGCGGTTGGTCGTGGCGCAGTTGTCTGATGGGGAGCGCCAGGCGATCGATGATATGGGGGAGGAGCAGGACGACACCGACGAGCTTCGACAGCGCATGAGGGCCGCCGGGTGGACCGATCCGGGCCTGATCCGCTTCACCATCGGCCTGGCCCAGTACGAAAGAGCAAAGGTGAACGTTAACCAAACCTGATTGTGGGCCGGCTGGCTGACTTGCGCCTGCTGACATTGCTGGCGTGCTACGTAGGCCGAAGCGATGGAAAGCCTGGCGGATGACAAGGCCGAGGCCAAATATGGCAAGGAGGCCTTCTGCATTGGCTTCAATATTGGTGCGGTCTCCCTTCTAGCTCCATGGTTTGTAAATGCGGAAAAGCTGACACCACCCTCCTCCTCTTTGTGGTGGCAGTGATGCTGTTCATGTCATCAATCTTGATCTTTCCAATCATTGGCATTGTGGTACGTGCATGTTTGCTTCGCTCCACCCACAGTACAATCATCATTCTTCTCATGTAACCCTTGTTTCCCACAAACACCAGATGCACACCCTGGGAATGGTGTGGGGCAGCACGCCAGGAAGGCTCATCCCCACCCTCCTCGGTACTTAGCCCACAGTGCCAAGAGGCTCAGTACGAAGACTGATCTTGTGGTTCCCTTCCTATGCAGGTATCCTGCAACAGAGGCTGTGGCTCAGCCTGGCTGGCATCAGCATTGAGGATTATTATCCATAATAATCTGAATAAGCATAAAATTGTTTTGATTCTCTCAACACTGAGATAGAGTCGCTACAGGGCAACATGGCCAGTGTTGGCCTCGGACTCAACAGCCAAGAGGCCCAGGCTGCACTGGAAGATGATCGAGGGCACCAAGCCGTGGAGGAAGCCCCACACGCCTTCTTGCCTGTAGATCGCCGCCATGGTCTGTTGTGTTCACGCAACCCGCGCATCAGCACCACGATGCAACACACACACCACACCACACACCGCACACACACCGCACACACACCGCACACACACCGCACACACACACACACACACACACACACAAGACACAACAGGCGTACTCCGAGGGTGCCGAGAGGACCATAGACATGCGGCTGCGCAGCCATGCGCATCGTGATCTGAGGCGTGGTGATACGGCAGCGTGTGAGTAGTACCTGCGCATTTGCGGAGTGAAAGACAGCGGGCGCGTACGGTTTCCAGCGGGGTCAGCAAGACCGCACCCAAACTACACGTTGTCACCAGCGCCAGGGCGGTGCTGGCCACATAGGCCACTCGCCGGGCGGTTGATGGCTCGCCGAGTTCCTCCTCGCTGTCGTCCTCCTCGCTGTCAATGTCGTCTTCTTCGTCGTCGCCAGCGCGAGGCGGCATGAAGTCGGGGAAGAGTGCGGCCTTGTGCCAATGCAGCAGCTTGGCACGCACAAAGTCGAAGCCGCACATAACCTGACGCACGACACATGTGGTGAGTTGTGGACCGCATCGCACACACCACAAAACAAAACAAAACAAAACAAAACAACCAAAGGCGCGTACTGGCCCGACGGCGGCAGAAGCGAGCCAGGAGGAGTAGAAGTGGTCCTTGCCCTTGACCACACGGTCCACCAGCGCCACCTTCCTGCCGGTCATTGGTGAGTGTACGATTGTAGCAAACCACTTAGGGTGACAATGCTTGACTGCTGAGGGTGGAGACCACCAAGGAGACCACACGTGAGAAGGCGGCAGTGGTAGTTGGAGCGTACCAGGATGGAAAGTTGCGCGCGACGTAGCTCGCCAGCAAAACATTGTACGGATGGACGACCAGCATTAGAAGAGTGGTGTTAAGCACACGACTGGAGCATGTGGCGTGTGCGTGTGCGTGTGCGTGTTACGGTGAGTCCACCCGTGTCCGAGGAAAATGCGTTTTACGAGCTGGGCGTCGCGTGGGTTTGAGCACAAACATTGAATAAGGGAGCGACCCCAACCTGGTGTGGAAGCGTATTGTCTGCTCCGCAATGTCCTCTTCACCGACCCCGAGCGCCTGGTCAAACAGAGGCTGGGTGGCCACTGCCGAAAACGTGCGTTGCGTGTGCGCGTGTCGTGTAAGCAAGCCAGATTGCCCCGTTACGTGTGAATTGAAATGGTGGAGGAGGCCCACGAACTTCCGAAGATGCCAAAGGGCACCATCGTCCCTACCACCAGGACAGGCCACCTGCCGCGCCACGAGCACGCACGCAGAGAGAGAGAGAGAGACAGAAAGTGAGACGGATCATCATCTTCATTGTTGTCGTCGTTGTTGTGTATGACGTACTTGACCAGCATGAGCAAGCCGTCTTCGCGCCACAGCTGTTTTGTCTCCTGCGCGGCCAGCACAGCATCGTCAACCAGCGCCGCGGCCAGGCCTCGCCAGTGCGCGTTGCCGCGCACCAGCACCGAGAGCGCCGAGCGGTCCTGCACGATCTTCCCCATCACGCCGCACATCACTCCCACGGCTTCGGCGCACCAGGGCGTACCGGTGTTAATTTTTTTATATTTATAAACATACATGATTAAGATTACATTGGTTTAAATCAAATACAAAACGCCGGAGCGGGGAATAGGCACCAGCGACGGCCAGGCCTGCGTCCTGCTCAGGCTCGGGCATGGGAGCGCCCCGATGTTCCTCTGTTGTGCGCGCTTGGTGGACCATACCTCAGCACGACAAAAACAAATCGGATAAAAACAACAAAAGAGACCGCTAATTTATTAGGCGGCGGAGTGAAGATTTGCGTGGCCTTTCCAGGAAAGTCGCCATGCGCAGAGTCTGAGAGATGTTAGTCTTCATTGGTCATGTCACTGTTGGTTGAGGCCGCATGGTGATCCAGACAAAGGCTGACATGGTAATAAAGGTTTATTATTAACCCCTCAAACTTAGATGTGTTCAAGTATGCCCCAGATCTGCCTGTATACTTTTCATGTCCATCCACTGTCCACAGGCAGATGTTGTTCAAGCCTCACCCATGCCTTGTCTCAAACATGCACTGTAACATACACCTGTGAGTGTTGTGTGTGTGCATGTGTGGTGATGAGTGTGCAGTTGTGTGTCTTCTGCAGCCTGTTGGGCCTGAGACATTACTGCCAATTCAAGATGTGAAAGTTTGACTTTCTTACCTGAGCCAACTTCTCTTTGTTTCTCATTAGTGATTTCAGAGATGTACTTTGGTCCCTTCTGCAAGAAATACAGCTGAAAATATTTGTAAATCAGGGTTGGTGGGTGCTCAGGTGACTGGAGAGAATGAGCGAATTTATGGGAGTATTGGCTGTTGCACTACTGGCTTGTAAAGCCAATTACAATTATGACAGACAAGCAAGGCCTGTGGCCCAATGGAAAGGCGTCTGACTACGAATCAGGAGATTCTGGGTTCGACCCCCAGCAGGCCTGAAGCTTCTCTTTTAATCTTTTGCCCGCTGGTCTTCTCTCGTGGGCCGATTTGGCGGGAAATGGGTACCGTGCACGGTACACGTACGGTTGAACAAGATGGCAGAGTTTCGAAGCATAGATCCTGAAGATTTGGAAAGCTCGACTCAAGGTTGGGGCGCCTTGCTGCGTTTAATTCTTGCGTACGTTAATCTTGATTGTGATGATGTGCAGATGAGGCGGAGGAGGGATTTGAGGAACTCGACATGGAGGGCGGCCGTTTGGTCGAGGTGGGTCGGGAGGCCTGTTGGTCCCTCTCCAGCGCCAAGCCCGGCTTTGGCATCGAACAACTCCGCGACGACAACCTCGACACATACTGGCAGTACGCTACCCATCCCATTGGCACCCCCCCCCTCTGGTTGCTGAACGCTTTGGCCGGCACAGGTCGGATGGCCCGCAGCCGCACACGATCAGCGTCCAGTGGCACCGGCGGGTCTGCATCGAGGTACGCCTCCTGGGCACACGAACACGAACACGAACATACGTGTGTATAGACCCCACTTGCGTGTAAATCTGCTAATGCGCTTGCTCACGCTCTCGCCTGAAACAGCAAGTGTCGCTCTACCTGTCCTTTGCTCATGACGAAAGCTACACGCCATGCCACATGTCCATCCGGGTCGGCACCACCTTTCACGATCTGCGGGTATCTATTCCGTGTTGTATGTGGTGCGTGGTGCGTGGTGCGTGGTGCGTCGTGCGTGCGTCGTGCGTGGTGTGGTGTGTGTGTGTGGTAGTGCTGGTGATCGTGGTTGGTGCGCTATGAACTCAACCTTATGGCGATCGGGCAACTTACCAGGACATCAAGACGGTCGAGATGGAGGAGCCCAACGGGTGGGTACACATTCCACTGAGCGACGAGCCAGGGTACGCACCCTTGAGGGTTTGTGTGAGCGAGCCCTCACTCGGCCTACACACATATTCGTCGTTCGTGTCGTTCGTGGGTCGCTCATGTCGGTGCAGGACCGTATTCGGCCACTTGATCCAGGTGGCCGTGCTGGCCAATCACCAGAACGGTCGAGACTCACACGTGCGCCAGGTCAAAGTGTTTGGGCCATCGCGGTACCTCCTTCGCCACTGCCGCAGCCTCGCTCACACAGCGCGTAGTAGTCGTCAATGTGCTGAACGCCCACGACCTCTGCCACGGCGTGCGCGTGAATAACAGACAATCGACTGGGGATGCTGTGGAGGAGATTCCGCACTTTGACACCTCTGATTTCTCCATGTTCTCCATCGTTCGTTGAGAGCAACAAACTGCGCAGCAACAAACGCTCCGCCAAGGATTTCTCGCGACCTTTCTCTTCTTTCTTTGGTTTCATTCATTCATTCATTTACGTTTTGTTTGAGGTCATGGTACACCAGGCACACGCAGCAGCAGGGTATTGGGGCGCTCCGGAGCCGGAGCCGGAGCAGGACGGAAGCCTGGCCTCTCTGGTCGTCTCTGGTGCCTCCTTCGTCCCTTCAAACTTCAAACAAGCCCCGATAATTTTATTTTCTAATAAAAATGTTATATTTCGTTTATTTTCTTTTTTTGATAACAGAAATTCCACAACAATTCGTAATAAGTAATAAACTTCCTTATTTTACAACAGTTGCGGGAGTGGGGTGCGGCGTGCTGGCTAAAATCGTCCAGAGCCGCTCCATCATCCAGTCGGCGCGCGGCAACGCCCACTACCGAGGTGCGCCAAACTCGAGGCCATTGCGCGTGGGAGGATAACGACAACCGTCTCACCACCTCATTGCGCCAACGTTGTGGGCGCATCAGGCCTGGCCGCGGCGCTGGTCGGTGATGCGAGCCTGGCCACGCAGGAGGCGAAACAGCTGTGGCGCGAAGACGGCTTGCTCATGTTTGTCAAGTACGTCAAGCGCCATGAAGATACCAATGGCGATGATGATATTGATAAGTCTCACTCGTGTGTGTCGTGTGCGTGTGCGTATGGGGTGGGTCAGGTGGCCAGCCCTGATGATCGGGACGACGGTCCCCTTCATTTTCTTCTCAAGTTCGTTTCCACCTCCGTTTGAAGTTTGAAATACACAGGGCAATCGCTTGCACACGCACGACACGCACGACACGCACACATGCTTGCTCACACGCACACGCGACGCGCTTTTGGCAGTGGGTGTCCAGCCTCTGCTTGATCAGGCGCTCGGAGTCAGTGAAGAGGACATCGAGGAAAGGAGCTCCAGTTTCCACATCAGGTCCATTTTGCATTTGCCTCCATCCTTGTCTCCTCCTCAAAGCTTGTGCTCAAACGACACGACACGACACGACACGCGACATGACACGACACGACACGACAAACCAGTCGTATGCTCAACTCCGCTCTTGTGATGCTTGCCATTCACCCGCTCAGCACTTTGCTGGCGTGTTACATTGCTGACACCCTTCCATCCTGGTACCAACCACCTCCCCTCTTTGGTCTTCAGTGGATCATACACGAGTGATGAAGTATTGCATTTACCCAACACACACACACACACACATGGTTGATCACTCGATGACCGGCAGGAAGGTGGCGTTGGTGGACCGTGTGGTCAAGCGCAAGGACCACTTCTACTCCTCCTGGCTCGCTTCTGCCGCCATCGGGCCAGTACGCTCTTTTTTTAACTAAACCAGACTTTTTTTATAAATCTATTTTCAAGTCCATTTTTTTACGCCTTTGCCTGATGTCATCTCACACGCGTATGCGTTGGTGTCGTTAGGTGACGCATATCGCGGATGTTGTGCGCGCCAATGTGCTGCATTGGCACAAGGCCACGTTCTTCCCCGACTTCATGCCGCCTCGCGGCAGCGATGACCACGGCGACGATGACAACATTGGAAGCGAAGGAGAGAACGAGGCGGAGGAGGATGAAGAGGAAGAGCCATCAACCGCCCGGCGTATGGCCTATGGGGCCAGCACCGCCCTGGTACTTGTCCTGCTTTGCTCCGCGCGCACTCTCTTGAATTAGTTGACATCCATTTGGCTTGCTCTCTTCGGTCAATTCACAGGCGTTTGTGGCCGCGTGTGGTTTGAATGCGGTCTTGGTGGCCCCAGTCGAAACTGTATGCGCTCACTTTCGTTCTATTACGACACGACACGACACGACACGACAGACACGACACGACACGACACGACACGACACGACACGACACGACATGACACGACACGACACGACACGACACGACACGACACGCACAAGTGTGCCCTACTTACATACGCTGCCACCACCACACAGACCACCATGTACATGGCTGCACAGCCTCACGTCTACGGTCCTCTCGGCACTCTCGGGGTACGTCTTTTTCTTGTGTCGCTTGTCGTGAGTGGTGGTGGTGGTGGCTGTTGGCACAGTACCCTGGCGAGACCCCTTACGTGCTGATGCGCGGGTTGCGTGTGAAACCACTGAAACAGACCATGGCGGCGATCTACAGGCAAGAGGGCGTATGGGGCTTTTTTCACGGCTTGGTGCCCGCATTCATTGCCCAGTGTGGCGTGGGTTTCCTTGCCATAGAGGAAGAAGCCAACACGGGCAAGGCTTCCCTGTAGTGCCAACTGGACAACAAGACCACACCTTCTCGTCACGTTGGCCTTTGCTGGGCTCTATTGTATTTTTCAAACTCTCGTCATTTAATTGGAGGAACTTGAAAAAGTGCAGCGAAGCAACAAAAGGAAAAGGGGATGTTCCGCTGCCGGGAATCGAACCCGGGGCGCATGGGTGAGAACCATAAATGTTACCGACTACACCACAGCGGATTGGTTAAAAGAGTGGCAAATAGCAAATTTAAGGTGACAAATACGGAGAATCCCACCCACACCACTCCTACTTTTCCGCTTCACTCCGGGAACGCAGTTGCACAAGCCAGGAGTCGGGCCAGCTATTTTTCTTTGTGCGAAGTGCGGCTACATTGTTGTGCTGTGTGACGATGCGAACTCACTGATCTGTGAGGGAGGGATGGGCGTTGCCGTTGGTGAGCCACTCCATCGCCGCCCGCAACATCTCCATCTTGCGCTTGGGCATTTCACTGGGCTTCATGCATGCACTCTTCCGCAGCAGCTGCCGCAGTGAGAACATGTCCGTCTTGTCCAGCTTGGCCAGCCGCCGCACATCGGCCTCCAGCGCCAGCTCCTCCTGCTTCTCGCTCGACACCTCCTTCTTCACCTTCTCCTTCTTCGCTTTCGTTGTCACGGTCGTCTTCTTCGCTTTCTTCCTGTTGGCCGGCTGCGCGTCTTCCTCTTCGTCTTCACTTTCTTCGTTGTCTTCGCTCTTGGACTCGGGGCTCTTTCGCTTTTTAGCTTCGTTCTTTTTGCTGTCGTTTTCGCTCTTCTTCTTCTGCTTGGCGGCCGCGCGGTGCTTGACAATGAGCTGCGCGATCTCAGTGAGTCCGAACTGGCGGGCCAAGCTCAGTGCGGTCACCTTGGTCTCTTCGTCCTTGATGTCCGTCGCCGCGCCGCACGCCAGCAGACACCGCACGTGTGCCACATTTTTGTTGCGGACTGATGATCAACGTTGGTCAGTATCACGCACACACACGAACATCACCCGCGCATAACCGCACACGCGCGACCCACGACAGCACACGACACGCAATATATGCGGCACGACACTCAATAGAAAGCTGTACCAGCACAGTGCAGCGGCGTTTCGACCATCCTAAATGGCGCTTCGTTCAGGACGTTGATGTTGACGCCGTGCTCGACCAGGAAGCGGCACACCTCCTCGTTTCCCGCAGCGACGACGGGTGACCCACTCAGCAGATCGTACGAACAGCTGGGGTTTATGCCCGACGCCAGCAGGCGCAGCAGTTCCATCGAAGGCCGCTCGGCTGTTAACGTTCGTTCCGCCGAAACCCAAATGAATGTCAGGAATGTGAGACCCACCCAAGTGTGGGAGCCTACCGTCACTCAGGGCGAAGGCGACATGAAATATATCGGGCACTGCTCCGTGGTCGATCAGCAGGCGCGCCGTGTCCACGTGGCCGTTCCGGACTGCGGCTTCCAACGGTTTGTACAGGTGCTTGAGATTGCAGCCGCGGTCGAAGAGAAGCTTGACGGCGTCGGTGTGGCCGCCCTGGGCCGCGGCGATGATCGCGCTGCCGTCGGGGCGGGCTCTGCGCCGAAGCAACATCTCGATCATCGCCATGTCGCCCTCCCTCGCTGCCGCCTGATTGCGTGGCACGTCCGTGTTGCGACGTCGTATCATTTTGTGTGCGTCTGCGGTAGTGCGCGTGCAGTGGGTGGTAGTGCATGTGCGGTGCTGCGTGTGCGAGCAAGGGGTACCAGCAAGGGGTCGTCGCCGTTGGGGTCGGCGCCATGGTCCAGGAGCATGGCAGCGAACTCGACGTTGTGGCTCGCCGCCGCGTCCACCAAGGGGGACTTTTGACGTGGTCCCCCAGTTGAGACGGGGGACTTGACCTGGGCACCAAGCTCCAGAAGCGCCTGCGCGAAGAAAAAAGGTTGCTTATTATTTATTGCTTACTTATTTACTTATTGATTTATTATTTTCATATGAATACATGGATTATTTATTTATTTACGATTTATTATGACGTAGTGCAAAGTGCAGTAAATGCGCACCTTGGCCGTTGGGGCGGAGTGGGCGGCGCAAGCGCCACAGAGGGCCACGTGGAGCAGGTTGCCCTCGACGCGCTTCCAGTGCACGGGGTGGTGGTTGTGGCATGTGAGGGTGGCCAGGCTCTCCGCGCCCAGCCCGCGACGCACCAGCAGGTCGCTCAGGTCGGCCGCGTAGCGCCGCACCAGCGGCAGGCAGCCCGCGTTGGCCGCCGCCACCAGGTCCCACTCGAGGCCCTCGTAGTCGCTCCGGGCCTTGTCGTCGTTGAGGGCCTGCTTCAGTCGGCTCGCCTTGGCCACGAACGAGAGGCGCCACGACTGCACCCCGCCGGCGGGCGAGACGACGGGGCCGAGCGTGGCGTCGGTCGCGTGGTCTTCGTCGAGTGGTGGTTGCCAGCGGGTGGGAAAGACGCGAAGGTGGAACTGGCGCCAGAGGTGCGGGTCGAACATGAAGCGGCGCCAACGGCGGCACGTGGCTGTCACGGCCGCGGTGTCACGAAGGGGGTCGATGTGGCTCAGCACCGCAAGCACCAGTTCGTCCGGCAGCTCCATCAATCCAGTTCAGTTGTCTCCCAAAATAATCCTTGAGGTAAAAAAATACTCCCAACACGAATTCCAGGAAAAAGAAATAAAATGAGAGCCAAGCAAACAAAAGCACACAACAAAAAGAAAAGGATTATTCCGCTGCCGGGAATCGAACCCGGGGCGCATGGGTGAGAACCATAAATGTTACCGACTACACCACAGCGGATTGGTTAAAAAATACGTGTTCTTCCCTACAAAGTTGTGTCGGGCTGATTTTTTTCTAGGACAAAATTGCAAACCGGTCTGCACGCGTGCTTTTGGGGTTCGGGGCGAGACGCAATAAACCCAGTGGGCAGTGTATTCAGGTACACGGAAGGCACGAATGGCCAAGATTAGTCGGAGCCGGTGTCGGTGTCATCATCGCTGTCGCCCTCCTGCTTGATGAGCTTGCCATCGTCGTACCACTGCATGGCCGACTCTCCGTCCGCGAAGAAGAGCTTGCCCTGCCCGTGCTTCTTGTTGGCGCGCCACCTGCCCTCGAATCTGGTGACACATTCAACATATACATGTAAGCCCCAACCGCACACTCACACAAAGAACGAAAACGAAGAAGAGCAGTCAAAGGGCTTGGGTTACCTCTCGCCGTTGATCCAGCTGTAGGTGCCCAGGCCGGACTTCTCGTCATTGAGCCAGTCGCCTGTGTGGTCAAATCATGAGATTCCCGGAAGATGCCGACACCACCGGTGGTCATGGCAATTGGGGAGATGCTGATCGTACCGTCGTAGACGTTGCCCGAGGCGTAGGTGTACTTGCCCTTGCCGTGCTGCTTGTCGTCACGCCACATGCCCTCGTACTTCTCGCCCGTGGTGAAGGTGAACACACCATAGCCGTGCTTCTTGTTGTCCAAGTACTCACCTGTTTCGCTCCGCTTAATCAGAAATTTAAAATAATATAATAATATAATAATGTAATGTAATGTAATTAATTAAAGAACATAAAAATGAATAATAATTTCAAAACGTACCCTCGTAGCGATCGCCGTTCTTGAAGGAGTAGACGCCGTGGCCGTGGCGCAGGCCGTCCTTCCAGTCGCCCTCGTATTTGTTGCCCGAGGCGTACCACAGGGTGCCGCGCCCGTGCTGGAACTGGCCCTTGAACTGGCCCGAGTAGCGGTCGCCGTTGTCCCACGTGTACTCCTTCTCCACGATCTCGTTGGGCGACCTCTTCGTGGTGGGTGACGACGAGGTGGTCGGCTCGTCAACCACCTCGACCAAGGTGAGCGTCGACGCGCTCGACAGGGTGTCGAGCAGCGGGTCCTTGCTGCGCAGCGTGCCCACCTGCTGCTGGGCCGGCGACGGCCTGGAAGGCGCGGTGGCGGTGGCGGCGGGTCCGGGGCGGCCGGGAGGCGAGGGGCGCGGG